GGGTGATCATACGCTCTTCTTGCTAAAGGCTTTCACAGATGTCACTCAGATCATTCCCTATTTGTTCAACATACTCAATCTGGTATTATCATTCTTTTAGTCTACGTCGATGATATCATTCTCACAGGAAGTGATTCGATTGGTATTGCTGATACTAAACTCTATTTGAAAACAGTTTTCGATATTAAAGATCTTGGTCCATTAACCTACTTTCTTGGATTAGAAGTTACTAGGGATGATGATGCTATCTTTCTCTCCCAACGCAAATACGTCCTTGATCTTTTGAGTGAAACAGGGAAACTTGGTGCTAAAGCGGTTCGTACACCTATTGAAGAACACTTCAAGGATCAATGCGAGGGGGAATTACTACAGAATCCAGAGCAATATCGTCGCGTTGTCGGTAAGCTCATCTATCTTACGATTACACGACCTGATTTGAGTTTTGCTGTGCATCAGGTTAGTCAATGGATGCACGCCCCAACTACAACACATTGGCAAATGATAGATCGCATACTCAAGTACTTGAAGGGCACCCCAAACAAAGGCTTATGGATGAGAAACAATCAGCATACGAAGGTCATTGGATACTGCGATGCAGATTGGGCAGGAGATAGGACGGACCGAAAATCAACCACCGGATATTGCACATTCGTTGGAGGGAACCTGGTCACTTGGAAGAGCAAAAAGCAGACCGTTGTGGCGAGATCAAGCGCAGAAGCAGAATATAGAGCTATGGCAAACACAACAAGTGAACTCGTATGGCTCAAACAACTCTTGGAGGATCTCGGGTTTGCTTCAACCAAACCTATACCACTTCACTGTGACAATCAGGCAGCTTTACACATTGCAGCCAACTCCGTATTTCATGAGAGGACAAAGCATATCGAAGTAGATTGCCATTTCATTCGAGAGAAGATCGCAAATGGTATCATTTCTACAATGTATACAAGAAGTCAAGATCAGCTTGCGGATATACTCACAAAGGCGACTAGTTCCGTTGCTCTCAACAAAACTCTCAACAAGATTGGTCTTACCGAATATCGCCGACCAATCTTGAGGGGGAATGTTGAAGAACAAGGAGCAATCAGCAAACACTCGGATTCTAGCAGAAGGACTCAAGCAACTGAAGACTCAGATTCAAAAGGAAGCTTTGGAGAAAACGAAGACTTGGTTACAAACAGAAGGTTCGAAGACTTGCAAGCAAGGAAAGACTTGGATTCTATTGGAGGCTTTGGAGAGATACAATCTGGCCGTTTGGGAGCATAATTCCAGCAGTGATTTCGAACTCTACAACATGGAAAGGCAATCAGATTACAAGAGGCATATTTCCTCTTTTTTATTATATTCACACACTACTTGCCTTGTACATTACCATTAGCATATTTGGTTTCCTTTACTATATCTGTACAGATTATGCATATAAGAATGTATGTATTCATGAGAATAATAAGAATTGAGTAACCTAACCTTCTGGTTACACTTTCTTCCAATTTCGTGTTCTTCTCTTCTCTTAATCATAAACTCGATTCTCAGCAAGTTTAGCTTGTTTGATCAACCTTAGCTCAGATTTCTTTATGGTATAAGAGCTCTAAGGTCCAAAATCAAGCATTTCTCATTCTTTTCCGCATCAAACTCTGAAAAATCTCGTTTTCTGCCATGGATACTGCATTGAAACCAATTCCTATCACCCTTAATGGTGAAAACTACTTCTATTGGTCGAAAGCAGCCAAAGCTACACTCAGTAGCAAAGGTTTGTGGAATCATACCATCGATGACGGCTTCAGTTCCTCTCACCAAGTTGAGACACAAGAAGGCATTCCCGTGCAAGGTCTGCAAACACAACAAGCTGCTCAAAAAGAAAAGGCAAAATGGCACCAAGAAGACCAGTTGGCATTGGTCCTTTTGCAAGGTTCTCTTGATCAGAATGTGCTTCAATCCTTCATTGCCCTAGATTCAACCAAGGCTTTGTGGGACGCACTCAAGGAGGTTTACGGTAATCTCTCAAATATTAGCCGTATTTATGAAATAAAAAAGAAGTTGTCTTTGTTGCAACAGCAAGGCCGGCCTTTCAACAAAGTTCAAGGAGAATATACATCTCTATGGAACGAATTGGAAGAGATAAGGCCTGTCACAATGGATCCCAAAATCGTTGTCGAGCGTGCTGAAGAGGATAAGGTCTTTGGATTGCTTCTTGCTTTGGATGCATCATTCAATGACTTGGTGTATCATCTCCTGCGTCAATCCAAACTACCACCATTCTCTGAGGTATGTATGATGATTAAACGCGAAGAAGGCGGTAGGAATCTGTTTTCAGGTTCTCTTGAGATGGCGCACTTCACCAAGAAACCGTTTTCTCCACTGTCTACACCGAGAGAGAAACGGTCTTTCCTATGCGATCATTGCAAGAAGCCTGGTCACATAAAGGAGCGTTGTTGGATTCTCAACCCGCACCTCAAGCCATCTCGCTACAAGGATCATCCTCCGACCAAAGGGGTTGCAATGTCTGCAGGCAATACCATCTCCTTCACTCAAGATGAATTCAAGCAATTTGTTCTTGCCATGAAGGAGAAGGATACTGGTAACTTTTCTTCTATCTTAACTCCTCACATAGTCATCGATTCAGGAGCAACAACACATATGTTCAAGGATAAAAATCTGTTCTATAGTATTGAAAAATCATATGGTGTTGTTACTGTGGCTAATGGTAAGTTTGTTCCTATTGAGGGACATGGCATTGTTCGCATGTTTGGCAAGGAATTTTCGGCATTATATGTTCCTGAATTTAGTACTAATCTTTTATCTATCCCTAAGTTAGTTCAAGATTCAAACTGTCGTGTTGTGTTTGATACTAATGGCGTACTCTTTCAGGATATTAAGTCGGATCATACTTTTGGCAAAGGAATAAAGAAGGGCAACCTCTACTATGTTGAAGATTTTCTTTGTTTTTCTGATTCTACCTTTCATGTTTCCCATTCACTATTGCATGCTAGATTAGGGCATCCTCATAATAAGGTTTTAAAGTTACTTTTCCCACAAGTTAAAGACATTGCAGTTCCTGGACATTGTAAGGCTTGTGTGCTTGGTAAACATTGCCGTGCGGTTTTTCCCCATTCTTCAACAGTTTACAATAATGCTTTTGAGTTGGTTCATTCTGATGTATGGACTTCTCCTTGTTTTTCAAGAGACAATTATAAATACTTCGTAACCTTTATAGACGAGAAGACTAAGTACACATGGATCTATCTCATGAAAAATAAAAGTGATGTGTTTGAAATTTTCAAAACATTCCATGCATTCGTGACTAATCAGTTTGCTCTAAGAATAAAATGTCTAAGAACAGATAATGGAGGTGAATACACAAGCCACTCTTTTCGGGACTATCTTAATCAACATGGCATCATTCACCAAAGATCATGTCCCAACACACCACAACAAAATGGAGTCGCTGAGCGTAAGAATCGACACTTGATGGAAGTCACTCGGACACTACTCTTTCATCGCAATGTACCAAAGCCTTATTGGAGTGATGCGGTGGTGGTAGCTGTTGTTCCCCCTCAAGATCATTATCCGTAAGCTCATTGGATGCGTCACTAGGATGGATGGAGGCTTCATCCCCTGCAACGTTAGAATCTAAATTTCTACCGAAAGAATCAAAAATCATGGGAGGGATACCGTCAGCATATAGATCAGGAGGAGGGGATGAATTGTCTCCAAGGTGACGGATTGTAGTAACGAGTTGTAAAAGTGAATCATGTATAACCTTGTGTGTCAAGGTTTGCTAAAGTGTGCCAGTTCTTGTCACCAAAATAGCCAAGCTCCTCAATGAATCTCACATGTCTGGAAGTGTATATGCGGTTGCTCGGGAGATGATAACATGTATACCCTTTTTGGTTGGCAGGATATCCAATGAAAATGCACCGAATGCTCCTTGGGTCTAGTTTATTCCTTTGGCTCTCATCTAGATGAACAAAGCACACACAACCAAATACACGTAAATGGTCAATGAAATCACAGCGTTTGAAAAGTACCTCAAATGGTGATTTATCCTGTAGCACTTGAGTTGGTAATCTGTTAATAAGATAGCAAGCCATTTTCACCGCATCACACCAATAAGTTTTGGATACGTTGCGATGAAATAGGAGTGTTCGAGCAACCTCCATCAAGTGTCTGTTCTTCCTTTCTGCAACACCATTCTGTTGCGGTGTGTGAGGGCAAGATCTTTGATGAAGAATGCCTTCTTGAAGAAGATAATCGCGGAATTGAAAGCTCATGTACTCCCCACCGTTATCTGTTCGCAAGCACTTAACCTTGGTATTGAATTGGTTAGAGACATAATGCAGAAAGTTTTTCATAGCGCCAAACACATCACTTTTACGTTTCAGAGGTGTAATCCACGTGTACTTGGATTTTTCATCGATAAATGTCACAAAGTACTTGTAATTATCACGGGAAAAGCAAGGAGCGGTCCATACGTCCGAGTGAACCAAATCAAAACAATTATCTCACAGATAGTAGTAGAATTCGGAAAAACAGTCCGACAATGTTTCCCTAACGTACATGCCTCACAAAAGTGATCAAATGTCTTAACGTGGGGAACAAGTAAACGAAAAACCTTAGCATGTGGATGTCCAAACCGAGCATGCCACACACTAGGTGAAACAGAAAGAAAGCTAGAATGTGAATCTTCAAGGTAAAAGAGGTTGCCCGTACGTGTTCCTTTGCCAAAAACACGATCCGAGTTAATATCCTGAAATGACACACCGTTAGTATCGAATATGACACGGCAAGTTGAATCTTCAACAAGTTTAGAAATAGAGAGAAGATTAGCATGAAAATCTGGGATGTATAAGGCCATGAGTTCATGATTAAATAGTTTAATCGGACCAATCCCCTTAATAGCAACACTCTTACCGTTTGCAACCGAAACAACACCATGACTCGGTGTAATGTGTTCAAACCAACTAGAATCACAAAACATATGGGTTGTGGCACCCGAATCAATAATGATAGAAGAATGTCGAGTAAAGTTACCAGAATCTGTGTTGATGGATTGCAGAAGGTGTTTGAGCCCTTTCAATTCATCATTTGTGAGACTTATGTTGTTTTCGGTTGGCATAGTGTCATGTCCAGCGGTCATAGCAGAGCCACGTCGTGGTGGTTCTTTGTAGCGGGATGGTTTCATATGAGGATTGAGTATCCAACACTGGTCCCTTGTATGCCCTTGTCGCTTGCAGTGTTCACAATAAAAATTCCTCCTCTCCTTTGAGGATGACCGTGGAGCCGAGGGCTTGTGAACGTAATGTGCAAGTTCATGAGGACCGCTGAATAGATTACGACCTCCTTCTTCCCTCTTGATCATCATACACAACTCTTCGAAAGGGGGCAGCTTATCTTGTCTTAACACATGATAAATCAGATCGTTAAAAGAAGCATTAAGAGTTGAAAGTATGGAGAAAACCTTGTCCTCTTGAGCCCGTTCCATGATTGTGTGTGGATCAATCGAGGTTGGCCTAATCTCCTCTAATTCAGCCCATAATGCACAAAAATCCCCTTGAATCTTGTTGAAGGGTTGATCATTTTGCTGGAGATGAAACAGTTTTCGTTTCAACTCAAAAATACGGCTAACGTTTGAAAGGTTACCGTAAACACGCTGCAAGGCTTCCCAAAGTGATTTTGTCGTGCCGTGAGAGATAAAAGACTGCAGGATATAGGGGTCTAACGAGCCTTGAAGAATCACCAAGGCTTGGCTGTCTTGTTGCTTCCATTTGTTGAAGTCTAACACGGCTTGTTGATGGCGTGTGAGACGTAATTGGATCTGCTCCGGCGTCTCTCCTTCAATGGCCACTTCTTGTGGGGGAAAGGCCGGTTGATCCGATGAAATATGTTCCCATAAACCTCTGCTAGTGAGAGCAGCCGTAGCAGCCTTTGTCCAATAGAAGTAGTTATCACCCTTCAATGTGATTGGGATGAGTTTAGGTTGAGCATCCATAGCGATTTTGCTGATGAAGAATAGAGGGAGTAGATTGAGCATGATCGAAACAAAAGAGGATAAAACAGAGGGGTCAAGGACCTTGATGCTCTGATACCATAAAGAAATTGATGAATTTGTGTGTATGATTGAACACAAATCAAAGAGAATCACTCGGTTATGTACTCAATGAGTAGCCGAGATGCACAAAGAGAAACGGAATGAAGTTAGGGTTCTTGGAGAGGATGAACAAAACAAAAATACTCTTCATTCCATATCTTTTCGTACATGATATACACAGATATATATAAGACTAAAAATCTGTGCAAAAGACAGAAAACAAACGGCTATAATTACAAGGAATGGCAATGCAATATTGCCAAGACATAAAAAAGGAAATGTAGCAAATGTGTGATGATTCTTTTCCTTTTCTTGTAATGTTGATCTTTCAGAACTTATTTCTTGCCTTCTACACGTGAATTGATGCCTTCAAGTGTGCCATCTGATCCGTGAGACTTGCTCTCCAAGTGTGTTCCCATGCAGCTCACGTACAAGGCTGTTTCCATGCAGATCACGTGTTGTTTGCTTCTTCATGCTCCAAGTTAGTGTCCGGGTCTCCTTGTTGCGTTTCTTCATATCCCGAATCCTCCATCTGATCTTCTTGCTCGTCAACACATTTTTAGAGGGCGTCGAAACATGTTTAGAGTGCATCAAAACATACTTAGAGTGCATCAAAACATACATGTTTAGAGTCTATTAAAACATTTTTATAGTGTGTCAAAACGTGTTTAGAGTGCGTTGATACATGTTTTGAGTCCAACAAAAGATATTTAGAGTACGTCCAAACACGTTTAGAGTGCGTCCAAACATATTTAGAGCGCATCCAAAGATGTTTAAAATACGTCGAAACATACTTAGAGTGCATCCAAACATGTTTAGAGTGCATAAAAACATTTTTAGAGTGCGCCGAAACATATTTAGAGTGTATCGAAACATGTTAGAGTTCAACTAAACATGTTTTGAGTACACCAAAACACGTTTAGAGTGCAACCAAAAACATTTAGAGTGCATCCAAACATGTTTAGAAAGAATCGAAACATTTTTAGAGGGCGTCGAAACATGTTTAGAGTGCATAACATTTTTAGAGTGTGTCAAAAGATATTTAGAGTACTTCGAAACATTTTTAGAGTTCGTCTAAACATGTTTAGAGTTCGACTAAACATGTTTAGAATGCATCCGAACATGTTTAGAGTGCATTCAAACATTTTTAGAGCGCGCCGAAACATATTTAGAATGCGTCGAAACATGTTAGAGTGTGTGTAAACATGTTTTGAGTGCACAAAAACACGTTTACAGTGCGTCCAAAAACATTTAGAGTGCATCCAATCATGTTTAGAGTGCGTCAAAACATACTTAGAGTGCATCCAAACATGTTTAGAGAGAATCGAAACATTTTAAAGAAATTGATGAATTTGTGTGTATGATTGAACACAAATCAAAGAGAATCACTCGGTTATGTACTCAATGAGTAGCCGAGATGCACAAAGAGAAACGGAATGAAGTTAGGGTTCTTGGAGAGGATGAACAAAACAAAAATACTCTTCATTCCATATCTTTTCGTACATGATATACACAGATATATATAAGACTAAAAATCTGTGCAAAAGACAGAAAACAAACGGCTATAATTACAAGGAATGGCAATGCAATATTGCCAAGACATAAAAAAGGAAATGTAGCAAATGTGTGATGATTCTTTTCCTTTTCTTGTAATGTTGATCTTTCAGAACTTATTTCTTGCCTTCTACACGTGAATTGATGCCTTCAAGTGTGCCATCTGATCCGTGAGACTTGCTCTCCAAGTGTGTTCCCATGCAGCTCACGTACAAGGCTGTTTCCATGCAGATCACGTGTTGTTTGCTTCTTCATGCTCCAAGTTAGTGTCCGGGTCTCCTTGTTGCGTTTCTTCATATCCCGAATCCTCCATCTGATCTTCTTGCTCGTCAACACAAACTGTTTCACTACCGGTTGTGACTCAACCTTCGACGAGTGAACCTCGGAGATCAGGCAGGATTCGCCAAGAGCCTGTGAGATACGGATTTTTCGTGACTGTGAATGAGGAAGTCATGTTATTAGAACATGACGAGCCTACCACATACCCAGAGGCTATGGCGAGTCCCGATTCCGAGAAATGTCGTGAGGCTATGAAGTCCGAGATGCAATCCATGTCAGACAACCAAGTATGGACTCTGGTTGATGCATCTGAAGGGATAAAACCCATCGGATGCAAATGGATCTTCAAGAAGAAGACAGACATGGATGGCAACGTCCACACGTATAAGGCACGACTTGTGGCGAAAGGATTCCGTCAGATTCATGGTATTGACTATGATGAGATGTTTTCCCCTGTAGTTATGCTAAAGTCCATCAGGATCCTACTTGTCATAGCTGCATATTACGACTATGAGATATGGCAAATGGATGTCAAGACCGCGTTCCTTAACGGGAACTTGACCGAGGATGTGTACATGACACAACCCGAAGGTTTTGTCGATCCAAGGAACCCGAGGATGGTGTGCAAGCTTCAGAGGTCCATTTATGGACTGAAGAAGGCTTCGAGGAGCTGGAACCTTCGTTTTGACGAGACAATCAAAAAGTTTGGTTTCTCACAAAACGAAGAGGAGCCATGTGTTTACAAGAAGGCTAGTGGGAGAACAGTTGTATTTCTAGTGCTGTACGTGGATAACATTCTCCTTATAGGGAATGACGTTCCTACCTTGCAAGACGTAAAGTCTTGGCTAGGAA